AATGAAGACCATTGTCTTGTGCGAAAGCGTCTTTCGAATCTGATGAACCCATGATAGGTCTGTGTCCGTCCTAGTCTGGCAGAAATTGTAAGAGCAAGAAACAATAAACTACGAAAAAAATCTACCAAATACAATTATTCAACACATAGTCTGTAGCATAGGCGCCATAGCGAGACCGGCCTCCAGTCTTCGATAGCCCTTTCTGCAGAACAGAATACCACTTCGGTCTCTTCGCTGTGACGGGTCGAAATACCGCCTAGTACTAATGATGCTGGTGGCAGTGATAGTGACTACGTGAGATTGACTTGGTGTGTTAAAGAGAGAAAAGACGAGTGGATCGCTCCTGGTACATGCAAGCGACCGGTGGCAGATATGTCTACTGGTTCTGGCAGAGTCGTCTCTAAGAGGGGGATTTTCAGTTGTTTGAGGCGGAAACCAGCTGGCCAGTCTGGGAGAGGCGACAACTCACCTGGCCAACAAGGGGAGATTTATCTCTCCAAGCAGACGTACCGACTTGACATCTGAGCATGTGCTCGTGTGTGCCCACGGACAAAAGAGCTCAGACGGGCTCTGCAATGTAGGCGGGTGTGGAGCGTGTGTACAAATGAGAGTATGAATGCTAATTGGGGAATCAAAAAATGTGATCAAACAGCAGTTCTGTCAACAAGAGGCTCGTGGAAGAGGTGAAGCCAGTCGGGGCTCTTATCTCCTTTCCACGCCAAGGCCAACTGGCCATGTCGGCCTGGACTCTGCTTTGTCACAGTCCGGCTAGAAGCACATGCCCACAGGCAGTCAGTCTAAAGCCACAAAGCCATTCACACATAATTGCATGCAGACAAATACACAAACAGCCAATTACTCACAAGGGGAAATTAAGTGTTGACACAAATACGCATAAATAAACCTATCGCATGGCAATTGTGAAGATTATGAGGATTTCCATCGCCGCCCTATCTTTGCGGCTGGCATACGAAAGTTAGTTACGCCTCTTCTTGGCTAATTAAGTTCCTTTCCATTTTGTTTTTTGCCCGGACAATGGAGTCGAAGTCATCTGCTGAGGCGGCTAGTTTAATGGTTATAAAAATAGACCATGCAGCCCAGTCGAAGATGGGTCTTTCTTACCAAAATCAAATGGTAGAACGGTTGGGCCAATTATTACTTATATATTAACTATGCCACGAATGCAACAGTCAATAAATGAATGAAACAACAAGTCAACAACCAACCCAAGCATCGTTACTCTTTATAGTCATCCCCGGCTTTAATTGACTAGAATAAATCGAAAAATAAATAAAGATATGAAGCCCAAAATGTTGTGGCCTCCATTGTGACCGTAGTCCACTTTTGATATATAAAAGTCATCCGAACTCGTTTTCGCAATTTGACCGTGTTGTCAGGGCGACCTGATTAGACGCATCTCTGCTGTAGTAGTTATGATAATTCCCAACGTTTGACCGTGTGCTTGGTACATTCCAAGACGTTTCGCCAGCATCGTCAGTGAGTCTTGTCAGTCACAGCACCAAGCTACAACTCTGGGGGGGGGATCAAGAGATTAACTCCACTTGTCTCTTCGACGAGTTGTTCCTTGATGCTGAGACTGGCAAGACTCAGTGACGATAGTGACTACGATGCCGGCGAAATGTCCGGGAACGTAACATGTTTACAGCCCAACACTGGGAGTTATCATAACTACTAAAGAAGAGGACCTTGGTCAAAGAGAGCCCAACGAATTTGCCCTGAAAACACGACCAAATGTCAAAAGCAAGGTCTGTATTATTCGAAAAATAAATACGTTATAGAATCGCCTAATAGAAAATCGGAAAAAAAATAGAATTATTTTTAATAGGGTTTAGGGACTACCGGTAGGTCATGAGATGTATTCACTATATTTCGTTTCTCACTCGGTCTGATCTGCAGACTCGATATCGCCTAGAATCAAGATATATCAAACGTAATAAAAATTAGGCAGAAGCGGAACTCTCTCTTAAATTTCGTTTATAAAAAAGTTTAGAGAATACCAAGAGTTGAATTTGCCTTATTTCGTTTGACGTTACTAAGGGCTGGAAGCTGAATTTTCACACAACGATATGATTATCCCTCAGGCTTCCATTGAATTTCACTTAGTTTTGCTTTTATAAACGTTTTCTTCATTCATACTCGTTTCGACTTTAGCTTCAGCCTTGCCTATGTCTTGTCAGCACCCCTAGCCGGACTCGAACTGTGATTAATCTGTCGAGATAAATACACTGCATTGTCATGGCTCGGCGCACGCTGGAGGTGTTGATGAGACCCTTGACGAAGTCGAAACTATAGTATAGTTTGGATGGGAATACCTTTCAGGAAAACAAGGCTATGTGAAATTTAATGGAAACGAAAGGTCTCTTTATATCATTGTAAGAATATTTAAATAGCAATATTTATCAAATTTAAACTAAATAGGGTGAATACTTAGCATATAAATATAATTATTGTATTGCGAACAACATGAATCAGTGTATGTGTGGCGAAATAGTGGAACCTCGCTACTTTATGCGCAAACCTGGAGGCTTAACCTCACTTTCGCAACTTGATCGTGTTATTTGCGAAGAATAGTTGGGTTTCGAGGAATCGCTTGTCCCATAAATGTTGAGCTTACTTCGATTTTGAGTGACAATGTTTGGTGAAGATATTCAAAGTTTGATCCCACCAGAAGACGATGGCGGATTTCTCTTGACCACCTGTCGATTGGCTTTACCAGAACATTCTTGTTGACGCAATCTGTTTCGATTCCGGAGTTTCCAGCGAATCGACAACTGGTAAAGTGAAATCTGCCCTCGTCTTCTGATGGATTCAAACTCCCAAACACTGCCACTCAAAATGGAATTAGGCTCAACAACTATGAATCAAGAGATTCCTCAAAATCCTATTTTTATTTGGTTAACTTCTTCCATTTTCTTTCAGTTACTTAATGCGAGCTACCAGCTAAAATGATATGGTCTGGTACTGAAGCTTCACTTTCTGCCATCCATATGGTATCCCACAGAAGAACTGACGTCTGATCCAGAAATGACGATTTAATCTGGCTAACATTGTATTGAACCCTATTATGCTACTACTAATACTACTACTACCTGTGTTGGCAGGACGATCTGGTTGAACGCATCTTGTCCGAAGTCCTCTTTCAACATACTTATGATCATCCCTAATTTCGGACCGTTGATTTGGTACATGCCTAGATCTTTCGCCATTCTTATCACAAGGCTATAACCGCTTCTGTTTAGCGAAACGGGACTGTGACCAAGATAGAGGCCACATCATCTTGGCCTTCACATCAGGACAGATACGAAAATTAGTCCTTACATCCCCGAAAGCATTTGGCGATAGTTGTTCAAGCCTAATTCATGTAAAGATCTTAATATGCACCACAAAAGTAAAGTTTTCCGGTTGAGTCTGCTTCGAACTTGTCGGTAATTCGTATATTTATATTCGTCTTTTATACACTCAAACCATAAAAAGTCTTTAAAGTCACACTAGCGCAAATGTATGTTCACAAGGCAGGGCGGTATGTGTTGCCGTTGGGGGCCTGTGTGAGAAAATTCTTTGAGAGGCAAGGCTGAGTGAAATTTAGTGGAATCACGAAGCCTACTCAAATAGTTTTGGGAAATAACAATATATGAATCCTTAAATAATCTAAGTTCCAATACAACAATCAAGCTGACAAGTTACAGGTCCTAATCCATCTCATATTAATGGGAAATAAAATGACTGAGTGATCCACCTAATGCTAACATTTGATTTTAACAAACCACTCAAGCTTAATATGAACAAAATATTCATTCATTCATTCAAGACTTCGTCCATCCATCGAGTTAGCCCAAGAATAATTGAATCAATGTATCATTTAATAAGAAAAACTAGTGAACTAATGAATCGTGGAATAAGTACACTAGTTACTCCTTAAACTATTAATTTCCTTAGTCATTCAACAGGTCATTCGTTAAATTGTTCTACAATTCCAGTTAATCCTTTGTTAATGTCATATTTTAAGATTTTATACAGCCAATTATTTGGGCAGTAATTTAGCTCAGCTTGTCAACTTGTCTAAATTTTGCTTTCAGTCAATATTTTATTAAGCTAGCCCATTTGTTAGTTATCTTGTTTCCATAGTTTACAGCATTCGAGTCAAGAACTTACAAACACACAAATATCACAATTAATTATTTAAGCAAACAGAAATCAAACTATGTTAAAATGAAAAAAGTGAATAAATTATCGATATATTTTTTTCTGTTAGGCTTATCACTCACTTAGTAAAGAAGCTAATCAATCACCGATTGGTTCATAATAAACCGTACAGGCGACATAAAACAAGATGAGCATTAACTTATTCAAATCTTTAACCACATACTCTGTCGTTCAGTGAACTAATGGAACATTGAATGCTGTAAATATGGAACCCATTGAGCGAGGAATATTCATTATCGACTTGATTGAAAAATCGGCTGTTTACCGACAAATTATACTATTATAGTATTTAAGTATTTACTCAATCATAATATCTGTAGATTTTCAATAATTAATTATCCTATTTCCATGCTTGTGTTGATCAAACGATCGCCCTCTGTTTACATTCTGCTTAGCTGCTGAGTCTGCCGCAAGTCCGAGTTGCTGGTTTGGTGCTTTGAAAGATTTGTCAGAAGGCTTTTGAGTGTATTGGCACAAACTGAAAGTTTGGCTCAGGTTCTCGACTAGCAAAGTCAGACACCTGCATGCTCTTCACCCTTGTGTTGCCGTGTTTCTTTGCATTTCACCTTTTTGTGACCATTTGTATGAAGTTGACCAACGCGCCTTCTATCTGCCCACTCTTAAGAGCGCACACACTCACACATACACACAAAAAGTAGGCTGAACAAACTGTCCAAACTAGTTGTTCCATTGGGTGGTTGGGATTATACTGACGCATGAATTATGGACAAGTGCCTTGGGCATCGGAAGCCAGAAGCAAAGATTATGAGGGGGAGCGTACAAGCAGGGCTCAGAGACACAAAAAATAAGCCTGTTTAGCCGACTTTCTAACAAGAACCGGTCTGGAAATGTGACAAATTGAAAGGGAACTGCATCTGCACTGAGGCTTTTTGCACCTGGCGATGCTAGAGGCGTGGCTTTGGCCAGGTTTCTGCCCCATGTCGGGGTCAAGGGCAAGAGGAGGAGGAGGAGGAGGAGGAGGAGGAGGTGGCGGTACTGGTTGTCATTATTTCAAGCCTGGGCCCGAGGTGAGTATTATCGCTTCATCGGCCTATTGAGAAGTCGAAAGTTCCACGTGGAGCAGAGCAAGTAGGTCCGGCTTCACCTGCTCCCTTGGTC